CTAGCAAATGCAGAAAGTATGTGCCAAATCAGCGCAGCAGAAGCAGAGAGTCCATACCTTGGATCGACCTGCGTCTCCGGGTAGCAATGGTCGCTTTTCGTCCTCGATTAACCCTCTATCCTCCACCTGGAGACCCCTCGCGCCTAATCGGCTCGGGATCCCTCATATGTGGGAGATCCGTGGTATATATATATATATATATATATATATATATATATCGTATGCAATGCTGAGATATTTGCAAAACTCCGGACCGCAAGTGTATGCGGGGGGAAACGAACGCGCGCTGTTGTCCTTACCGAGGAGAGCGCACTTCACCACACCATCCGGGTCCTTCGTTTTGTCTGTCTCTCAGCTAGTTCTATCGTTCTTCTCTCAGCTATATATATACATATATATTCTTGCCAATCTCCTTTGTTGAGCCAACGCGTGGGTGGAATCGAATCTTTTGTTGTTGTTGTTGTTGTCGTCGTCGTTTATTATTTGGTGTTTGTTCTTCGCTGCTTGCTGTTTGCTTGTTTTCTGCAATCGAATCTATTGCAGCAAACCGAAGTCTTGGAATATCTTGATATGCTCATAACGTCTCACCTCAACGGCTTTTCTGATTGAAGCAGAAACAGAAAACAATCGTTTTATGTCTTCTATGCATTCAAAGTGATGCACAGACTTTGTATAAGAACTTGAATTTAAGCATTAACGTAGGATCAGACATAAGTGGAACGTAAATGTTTCGTCGACACTGATTCTTTGCTCGCTTTTCATTGCAAGTATAGAATATAATTACTTACTTGATACTTGAACGGCCGTCATCACAAGTTGTGCGGGCCCAGCATATTCACCATTTTTCGTAGAGTTGCTATTTAAGCCATTGTAGTATCCTGGAATCCCGAGGACAACCTGGTTAAAGTCTACTTCAGGTCGCCACCACGATAGGCAGTCTCAACCCTTGTGGATCAGAGGGAGATCTGCCACTATGCGACTTTCATACCAGGAGAGTGGTGGAGCCTGGTATCGGTTTACTCTTAGCTAGGCTTCTGTTGGAAAGGCCGAACTCCTTTTCAGCTTGGGAGACTCTATCGGAAGGACGAATACTCTCACTGTACATCGCAGTCCAGCACCCAGGAACACCTCCCAGCCACGATGAGGCGGTAAACCGTTGGGAGGATAGAATATAATTAATCATAAAAGATCGTCCATCGCCAAAAACTTGTTGTATATCTGACTTCGACGGCTTCTGTCCGTTCTGGGTACTGTGTTTTAGGAAAAAAGACTCGAAACAGGTATCTATCTCGCTTTAATGGTTTTGAAAAAGAACCGATTCAATTAAGACAGAAGCGGCCATGGAAGCTCAAAATGCTGTTTAACGTGTATCAAACGTCCATTATGGGATATAACCACATCATTACCAGAGACTTTCACGTTGTTGTCATTAGAATAAAGGGAATGGCTCCATAAGGTGATAGTACTTCACAAAAATTATTCAACGTCGGCCCTAAAAATGTCATGCGAGTTGTTTACAGCTAATGAGAATCCGCTTACATTTCCTTTCCTTTCCAATACAGTAGGCAATGCTGCTAATTAAACGGTGCACAGAAAGGCTGGTCTAGGAAACTCTATTTGCAGTTATTGTACAACCGTCGGTCGAATCGTACCTATCGAAAACATCAATTCAAAATCGCTTCAGCCACCGCCCCCCCCCATTCAACATTTTACAACATATAGAACGAAGAACTTCCAGAAAGTAGTTCCAAGCATTTAACATTTCGCTTTCTAGTGAAGAAACAACCAGACATGACAAGAAGTTGAAAACCGATTTTATCGGTGACTCATATTTGTGAGTTTTCCTTCCCAAGCTTAATGAACGAGCTGGGGAGTAATAATGGACCAGGGTGGAGAGCCGGTGAACGACAAACAACTACCGCTAGTTTCCCAGCAGCAGTACAACTAGTATATTGAACGGCAATCGAACACTGCTCGAGCACATGGCAGAAGATCCCTCCCTCAACGAGGCAGTAAGAGCAAGACAGGTTGAAATCTACAACGCACTATGCTCTTCGGTGTGAGCGGAAATCCTGAATGTTGAGGTGTTAGCAAGTGAAGAAGAGCATCGTACGAGTGTCTCCAGATCATGTGTTGAAGTAAGGAAATGTCTACTTTTCTCCGTTAACATTTTCAAAAAGTGCATCCTGTTTAGGTGTTCTACTTACATGTCAAGTCTTCTCAAGACTTTAGATTACTCAGCTAACATGAGTTTGTTATAAAAGGTTTATTTGCCAACGAACCAACGAACAGAACACATGTGTATTACAATGCACCTCTTACCACTGCGCTACAAACGCTTTAAATTACCGTTCTTCTACGAAAGGCTTACTTTGCGCCTTATGTATCGTGCCAGTGAAACCGAATGTCCGACGTGTCACGTAAATACAGATAAAGTCAAACGCTCTCTGCGTTATCTTTCTATCAAATATACATCACTATACCAGGAGTATGTGTTATTTAGTAAAAAAAAAACCAAAACACATATTTAGGCATCGAAAGTTATTTTAAAAAAAAGAATCATTCCCAGTTGAAAAGTAGTGCTTCAGAGAGACAGTCTGGGATTGTCAGTTATCTGTAGGCACCGTGTAGTGAACTGGTAAAGTTCAACCTTATATGACTCGTCATTTGGCTGTTCTACTGGAGCTTAAGTATATTGTGCCATAATTCAGACATTTATATTCCAGTGATAGTTCATTCGATTGCGGAAACTCCATGCTTCGAATATAGTAATACATCAAAGCGTTATACTACTGCCGTGACCAATTTCCTCTCTTGTTGACGTATTCGAATTTTGACTTAAATAATGCATCTAAAGAAAAGCCTTTCTCGATGAATACAAGAAAAGTGAATTATACATATTTATTGCTAAATAACGGAAAAAGAAATTATGAAACAATCTAATTGATGACGAGTGATGCACCGGTATCAAATGGGGTGTTAAGCTCAAGAGTTGAACGAATACAAGCTCAGCAATCTATTCATATAGCAACCACAGTACCACCTACCGTAAACTGTACAAGTATGCAAATAGGATGTGATAAACTTCTTGGTGAGAATATAGCGAGACAATGAATTCAACATACGAACTTCACATTTTTTGCGGATTGTGGACATATGCTTGCGCTAAAAAATAAACCCGTAGGCAAGGAGTATCGAGGTTGTCATTGCTTCAACAGTAGATGTTCATATGAATGTTGGAATGGATTAGATAAGTAAATAAGTCGTTATTGCGAATAATCGTACTTTATGGCACTTTCTGATGAGAATATATAAGTTGAAAAAACTACCAAATCTCCTTATAAGAAGCGAAAGAATAATTTTGGCCCTAATATTTCAAGTTAGACCCAGAAGAGATGTTCGATCGTTTCACGGAATGCAGAACCGATCATTACCGAACGCCGATCCTCTTCCTCTGAGTGACGAAACGTTTCGATCGTTCTCAGCTGGACTTAGTATCAATGTTTGTAGGTAATAAACGGTTGTTTCTGTTCTAGATACTCGTTGCTGCATATCGATGGATAATTTCGAGTACGAGGATAGCCAACCTAAAAGTGGAAGTTGCCCTACTATAATCGTTATCGATCGTAATTATTCAAATGATAATGCCGAACCATACTTATAGGTGGCCATGTATGCAAAAAGGTTAAAGCCGTTGTGTGATTTCAGTAATGTAAGCTTGAATATGAAGCTACGGCAAAATTAAAGGGTGTAATTTTCGCCTCGACAGCGTCTTACAGACCGTAGTGAAGGATATTTCGAATACTGAACGACGATTAGAGAACTTATCACCTCTAATGTTCGATAATTGCCGGAATTGGTGGTGTAAATGGAGCTGGAAATCGGCCGATGCATCATCGGTTGAGTCCAATAGGGCTGTGGTGAGCTATTATCGTACAAATTCGACTCGTCAATACCTAAACAAGTACGGTAGTGAACATCATCGAGATGGGATCACTGCAACAACGACCCTGCTTTTATGGTACTGACAAACCGACATCAATTTCCTTTTATTTTTTCCGTAATGGGTTTTTTAAATCTTCTCTTTCACCGTATTCAATAAGACTTGACGTTAAGTACTTTATCTTTCAAAAAGTAGACTTTCCTTTATTCATCAGTGGGAAAAGGATGTAATAACTGGACAGAAAGTATACGAAAACTATTTGAAATTATTATATTTTTGGATTGCTCGGCTTACACAAAGTAGTTATTTTTATTCGGCTAACATATCGGGTGGGGCGCGTGTGACGCAGTGGTCGGAGGCTCCCTGCAACACGCACATGGGATCTATACCCTCCCCCATGGCCCACCAAGCCTTCCATCCCTCCGAGGTCGGCAAATTGGTTCCAGACTTGCCTGGGAGGATGGCAACACTGGTTTGATACATGGGCAGGCCACCACGAATTATTGGAAAGGCCAGATATGCATTCAATCACCTATGACGAGGATAAGTGAAAAATGCCTTAAAACATTCAAATCATGTTTAACTAAAATGAGAAGGTAAACCGGTACAGTTTGACATAATAACAGAAAACGATCCGAATTGGATAAGCGTTTAAGCAAATAAAACTACTGTTCATGTCTATTGTTAATTACCAAATATATCATAATTTCAAGTTGTGATTGTGACTGTTGAAAGTGCTGGTCCCGTAGGCGGGTAAGCGAATGAACACATGGAATGAGTGAACGCACTCTTCTATCGGTTAGGCACGGATTAGTCGCATTAAAATGTGATTGATTACCTCGTTGTGCTCGCTGAATGTTGTTGCGATCCAACGTCGCGATGCCCATCGGATACTTCTGATGGAACATTGAATTGTTTAGAATAATTGGTGACCTTAAGTAATTTCATGAATAGAAGCAAGAAAAAAAAAGAAAACCGCATAAGAACTGCTTCCATCATATCAACATATTTCGCTAGTTTTTCTGCATAAATAATGATTCCTATTCGCTCTTTTTTTCTACCTCGTTTTATCAATGGCACATTCTTGGTTGAACTGATGAACATTTTGAGGGTACTCGGCCGGAGCTATTGGAGGAGGAATTCGAGGTGGAGGTGGAGGCTTACTCGACAGGCATATTGGAGAAGAAGGCTGAAAATGAGATCCTTCAAAAATTTACGAAACACCGATACAGTCCTTCAATTATTCTCCCATATGACTAATGTATATTCTTTCAAGTTTTAAAAACAAATAAGAGAATGAAGTTCACCTCTTGATTACAACGCAGCCAGGAAATGGCTCCAAGAACCAATCCAATAAAAAGGATTGCGACTGGTATAACAAAATACCAAAAGTTATCCATACCGAGACCGAACGAGCCAAAATCGTAAGCTAAACAAAACCAAACATATTTGAAACAATATGCAGTCCCGAGGCTCCAAAAAAATAAATTCCTTATTACCAACCAGCACTCACCAGGAATAACGTTGAGCTGAGCGGTTTTGTATACGATATGTCCTTGTGTGCTTGTGACAACACAAATATACCGGCCCGCGTGCTCTTTTGTCACCTAAAGCCACGTTTCCTTTAAATAAATCATCCTTAGAAGTCAGACGAGCATATATTAGTCTATTTACCATGGGAATGACAAGGCGATTCGTATAGAGATGTTCAGCACCTTCTCGTGATACCGATTCGACTTGAGCTTGTTCCAGCACCAAGAGGTGCATTCCACTAGCATTCACCACAGTCGCGTTCGGATCCCGATGTCGAATCGCCACGGGATCCTCGATCTCTTTTAGCCACTAAATCGGAGAATTCCTACTCAAGAAAAAAGAAAAAAAAGAGATATGTGTTTCTACAGTCATTCTTTTATAACATACTATAACATGCTAATGTACGAATTTTTGGACAATTCCAGGTAATTTTCAATAAATGAAGCACTTGGTGATCTGAGGACTTCGAAACTATAAGAAGATTCTTCGTTCCCTCTTTTTACGAACATTGAAATTTTCTAAGCACCATTATCATTCTGAAATTTTGAAGTTCACACTTAATAAAATGTAGGTTCAAAAATCCTGTCAGATTTTAAAATCAAGTGAAGCAGTCGCCAACACCAACGACGCATTCCGTGTCTGAGGGTGTAGAAAAGAGATGCTGGAAAAATTCCATCTGTTCAAAGCCTTCAAAATAAAACTCTCAATGAAAAAAGAGCTATTCTTGGTTCCCAGCAAGCCAACATTTCATTGCAACGGACTAGCTTATGCCTTGGAGACAAATATGCATATATACTAGTGATTCTCGTTTCAAAAAATGAAGTTCACGATGAGTTGTAATAAGTGGATATAAAATAGGCACTCTCTGGTACACGGTTTACCCGCGTGATCATCACTGTGCTAAATTTCTTTACCAACCCTTTTGATACATAGAGCTCTCACCACCTCATAAAGAAAAATAACAGTAGATGTATAATTATGAGCAGTTAGAAAACCTTTATGAGTGGACTTTGAGTCGATTTGGCCTTGCACAGGAATTGAGCTGTGTGCCCAACTCTAACCGTTGTGTTATACGGCTGGTCAATGATCGGTTCGGGCATTTGACCCTGGAACGCCATCAGTATTTCACATTCAAAACACTACAAGCAGAGGAAAAAAGATAGAAAATACTTACTGCTCCGCCTTCACTAACGCCCAGTCGTTTACCGTCGTCAAAGAAATCACCGACGGTCACTTTGAAAATTGCCTCAATCGAACCAAGACGATTTTCGAGAACACAACGATATTCACCAGAGTCATCTAGGCCCGCTGGGTCCACTACGTATGCGGCTATGTGTGGGGGAGACTCTTAAATGATTGGGATTTTTAGCAAACAGATAGAGGAGAAACCTTTCCATGAATAAGCTTTTCTAATACATTACATATATAGCTTCACCTGATTTAATAAGAAAAAACAAAACAAAAGTCATACTTAAACTTGCGGTTGAGTTTCTTGAACAGCTGCTGATAACCCTGCTCTTTTACATCAGCTACTGACAACGAAAGCCTTCACGCTAGTGTTGTTGTCGAAGGCTCGACAGCAACGTTATAAGTAAATCATCTATACCGCAATCAAATTACCCCCATAAGGTCAACTGGCTCACAATATTGAAGTGAACTTCTAAAACGCAAAACTGGAAATTTGGGATCTGAGGTGGAAGAAAAGCTACATGATTTCCAACGATTCATATAATTGTTGACGGATGATTGCTGATTGCAAAAGATCGATAGCTCTAACTGAGAGACAGGGGAAACGAAGGACCCCCATGGTGTGGTGGTAAACACGTTACTCCCCGAAAAGGACAATAGCGCGTTCGTTCCTCACCGTAGACACCCGTGGTCCGGAGTTTTGCGAATAACTCAGCATTATAGAAGGATTCACATAATTTTACAAAAATTCGCATCATATACGTGTAACTCATATGTTAAAGCAGTTATTTTGTCACAGTTGAACTATTTCTTTAACAAAGGAAGTCTTTGAAGAAAACACGAAATCCTAACACATTTCAATACGAAAATGACAACTATATTAAAAAAACAAATCCACTGGATCACTTCAATGTTTTTGAACCACTGTAAACCAAAATAAAATAAAATTCGCTAACCATTTGTGATCCGTATGTTGTTTTTGTACCAGCGGATTTCCGGCAGCGGATTCCCACGCGCCGGACATCGCAGTTCCATACGTCCACCACGGTTGATTTGCATAGGAGAGGACCAATCGAGGTTCATGTCGATCAACCAAGCCGGGGCAGATGCTGCAAAATAAAGCGAATTGCAAGCCACATTTATAGAACACTTCTTTTTGAGATTACCATTCAAATAAAAGGAAATTTGAGCTACATTCATATAGAGATTTGGCGGAGCTACTACCCAACGTTTTTGAAACGAGAATGAACTTGAGACATTCTGCAAGGGTATGAATTAAGGTAATGGCATAATCAATAGCTAAGACACTGAGAAGGAACTCAATTGCGGTCTCTCAGCTGTGACGACTCGAGAAAGGTTTGGCTTAGCCAGATCATTCACGAAAATGAATTGCCGGATTCTAGATATTTCATTCTGCATTAAACGGCGCCGCCAACTAAAGTGCTCCAGAAAAAGAAAAAAAAGTAAAACTAAAAAAGTTTCCAAACGAATATACAAAGCGAACAGAACGAACAACAACATCCGAGCGGATTACTACTTGCGTTACAATTAATGTACTTCAATCAAAATGTGGGTGTAATACACGCGTGAAAGGTGTCGAAGTCCTGCCACAAAAATTATCGGTTAGAGAATTGCATGTACATCTCAGCGGATAATAATTTATACACTACGTAAAAGAACAAATCGATTATCGTCCACATGGGATTCAAAAATACGATTGCTAAGAGATAAGGAGTTTTCTGAATGCCAGTGGAAGCTGCTAAGAACAGATGCTGTCATCCAGTCTGATTTCCCCTAATTATCGTCATTTTTGTTTCATTCGGTGTTGCATAATCATTAATTACAGTGCAGAACACTCAAAATGACTCACTTGAGTTGGCAAGCACAATGGCATCCTTGAGCGACAGCGCTTCCTCAGAGGGATCTACGATGAGAATGATTAGGGATTCACAATCTGAGAACACGCAAGAAATTATAGAGCAGTTCGGAAATTTATAGACTTTGGATCAGCAAAAAATTATTGGCAAGCTAATGTACAACCTATTTACTGAGATTTTCGAATTTCTTGAACAGTTGATCAAAAGCCGTTAGAATAATAACAGTCATCTTCAAAGTGATTTCTACGAAAATTTGTCAACGATCATCTTCAAGGGTTCCGTTATTAAGCTACAAATAAACAGTATAAATTTTCTAACCGTAAACATGTACTGTGAAGTCAACTGTTCGATGTCCGAATCCATTTGTGGCCTGACATTGATACCTGCCGCTGTCATCGAGTCGGACCATCTTCATTCTCAGTTCACGATCATCTTTTGCCAGCTTGTAACGTGAATCCCATTCTACCTAAACAAAAAAACATAATTCGGCAATCCGTATCTTGTTCTTTCCTCAATCAGTAAAGTGTCTATATTTGAGAGGACGATTGCAAAATGTCTTTCCAGTCTTTCTCTCGTGTGCTAGAGCCCTCAAGCGAAGTCCATAATAGGGTTGTAGTGGTTTTCCGTGAGTAGAGGCATTCAATGTGACAATGATGGATCATCGTTGCCTGAGCACAAATGTGAACAAAACACGAACAATGAGTATGCAACAACTTCGCAAAAATTGGACCGACTACATTTCAGAATAAGTAAGTTAATGAAATGGTATCAAGAGTTTTAGGATCAAAATATTTGAACTCAGCAACCGAATGCTTTGCACTTATGAATAGCGATATCCTTACTATAGAATTTCCTTGTGCTTCCACTTATTATCATATAATTATCAAGGACAATTCCTTGCTAACCGCGGCATCGACTGATAACTACTTTTTTTTGCTGATGGGCTGCCATGAAGTTGTCACCTCATGTTAACTCTCTCCAAAACAACTTTGAAGATGAGGAACTTTTCCCAAACATTGGTCATTGTGAAACAATCGTTGCCTTGACGACTTCATGTCTACTCAATAAACATAGAACTACTTTTAGAAAATCGTTAATATACACAATACCTGTTCACCATTTTTTGTCCATTGTATCATAAGCATATCTTTGTCATTGGTAATCACCGGGCAAACGAGTTTAAATTGTTTCTGCCCGAGTGGTATACGAAATTTCCGTTCCACATCTAACAACATCTTCGGAGGCACTGAAAAGAATAAGTGAAAAACTGCGACTATCAGGCGGATTACGTGGTTTTGTTGGACAACTTTTTATTCATAGAATTTTTTCGATTGCACTTTGGCGCTGAACTTTTGTTTTTCACTATCACGGTTCTTCCAACCAATTCTATAGAGATGACAAGTGCATTGGATCAGGATTTGATTAACCATGCTTATAGACTTTTTCACCAAATTTTCTGGCTTCGCACAACCCCCATCAGACACTTCTTCACTTCCAAGTACTCAAGACATAGCAAAAGCCTGGTTTATAGGAAAGCGACAAATGCATTTCATGAGTCGCTTCATCATGCCAGCACTTCAAGAAGATCGCTGATGAAAATGTTAAAAAAACAGTTTAGACAACAGGTTAGGAATACAGCACTATTAATTCTACTTGAAGAGATTTCCTTTTTACTTTCGTTCGTTTCTACAATTTCTCATATATTTTCAATACCTAATTCGCTCAATATATCTAATCGTTTAAAAATTTGATACTTTCATTTTTCTCTCATCAGCGAAGCTTTCATGCAATACATGTAGCCGCTGTTCGCATCCTACTTGCTATTTCCGTATTAAATTTGGACGCAAATTGGAGATGATCGACTAGGGTAGAGTGGACTAGAAAGGGCTGAGAATTGCGCTTGACTGGATTCCTGTTCGGCTTCCCGACTGAGAGGCTTATCGTCGTATATCTCTGCACTCGATTAGCGCATCCAATCATCCGTAATATTCAAGCACTGATTAGTGACTCTAAGCGCGTCTTTTCGCCTCATGCTGGATCAAAGAGTATTTCCCTGGGGAAAATCTGAAAAAAGCCTAGCAGATTCCACCATTTCAGTACAGGATTTATATACAAATGCATCATTACAATTGTCGAAATGCTTGCGGTATATACTGCAGAATTCAGAAAAAAAAGAACGCAGGAGACTTGGAAATACTTCTGGCTGTAAGTGAAGATATGAGATTATTCCCATTTTTACCGCGTTTTTAGAGTATTCTTGGCTACGTATGTTTATTCCTCACGCTCTTTGCTCACTGATTCCACTCTGAAATTGAAATATTCGGCACCACAACTAGATTTGCCAAGAATAGTCAGCTTCTGTGAATGGAGTGAGTACACTTCATAATATACAAATAGACCACTAGTGGGATATTTTTATGCTACAAATTTTACGGGTGCTGTCATTTTTCTAACACTTCGACCCGTATTTTCTAACACCTCTGGCGCTGTTCTCATAGAAAAAGTCTATCAACAATGGTTTCGGATTTTGTCTTATTGGAAACCAAGAATACAACCATGCAAATATCGAGCATATACTGGACAGACTTAAGCGTATTGAAGATAACATAGGATTGTTCTTTCTGGGATGATTTTCTCTGTGGTGAACTAATCCACCATATGCTGTTTTTCTCACGTCCTCATCCGGTACCTAGTGGTCATCTATGCCATTTTGATCCCTGATATCGCCGTGGTGACGCAACAAATCGCCAACCTCTCCTCCGGCAATTGTATGGATGATCACTATGCTCCCGCAAATACGCTTTTCAACCTCCCACAATGCTTATCCGGTACTTGTGATGGCTTAGGATTCTCAGGGCCAGTCTGCCGGCGACGACTTACGCCATAGTTATCGTACATTCAATATCCGGGAAAAAGTCGCCGCTACTAACATCAAATGATGAACTGTGTTTAGCATTATAGGTTTGAATCAACGAACGTCAAACGCCAATTTTACGTTCAATTAAACTCACTTAAAAGCCGTATTTAACCACAAGGCTTCGAATACAGGTGCATTGGTCAAATTGAAAGCGTATTTTTGTATTCTAGAGGCACGGTGTGAAAATGGATCAACCAAATACTGTAGGAGAAAAGAAAGTTTTCCTATCACAAATTCTTAGGAGAAAACAGTTTGTTGTTGACCCAATTTTTGGTTAGTAGGCTCTCGCATGTTAGTGTGGAAGGAGACTATGTCAATGAGGATGAATTGTAGGGCAAGTGAAATTGAAGTGAGGTTCAATCCTATAATTTTTGCAAGGATTACCGCTTGTTCCCCAGAGATACTATAACAAGCAGTCAGGTCGCTATTAACTCAATGACGACAGAGATATTATTCGACTTCGCTGGTGGTTTCGATGTCGCACAGGTGTGTGTGGCGACCAGGTACAATCCTACATATAATCCTCTCAAGAAATATGGCAGCAAAGACAGAGCGAGATGAAGGAGGTGAGTTCGGATTTCAAGGTCACAGTATCCTAATAACTTTATGAGACTCAGCGTCCTTACAGGATGTAGCAGATAAGTTCTAGAAAAAAACCCTTAGATTCTTGCCTACAACTATGAGTTTATAATATTGTTAAAGCTTCGGTCATGTTTCATATAATCGCTTGTTTTGTGATGTGTTCTCATGAAGAGATTCCAGCATGGGTGAGAATCGGCAGTACTCAGCTATTGCTCGAAATATTAAGGAAGGCATTGACAGAGTTCACGAGCATTTGATACAATTCGAAAACACTCCAGCGTTGCTGCTACTGCGCCGAGGAGTTTTACTACGCATTATTAAGCAGACATACATTATGATGAAACGATGATTGGCGTGGTGAAGTACAATTACATCAGGAAGGACAGGAAACCTGCCACCATCGGCATAGCAACTATGTTAGGCTTTCAGGAAAGTCTGCAGTGCTGTATAGGCAATAAAACATAAAAGAACCACTTACTTCTGAAATTCTAGGAAAAACTAAATATGAAGTCGAATTCATCGGGATTAGACTATGGGATGAAATAAAGGATTCTTATCATTAGCGTCGAAAGGACTTCACTTCACACAGTATTAAGACAAAAACAAAAAAAATACTAGCTTGTCAGGATTTAACCAGAGCAAAAAATAAGAACCATTGAGCAACACAAGAAAAGCTATCCAATGCGAATACATTTCCGAAGATTTGATTGATGATTTTGAAGCTAACTGAACACAGAAAATAATCGAACGCAGTAGTTCATTGTAAATTAAACCATTTGAACAAGATCAGGCTATTGGTGTCATGAAATAAAAAATTTGCCTGCAGTCAATTTCAAGCACTCCATGATCGAAACATGTTGTTTTCCAACTATGAGTTAGTCACTCATGGAGTCGTCGATTTAATAGAATTGAACATAGCTTGAATAATTTAAATATTTATAAGACTTTGAGAGTTTTCTGCCAACTGTAGCCTTCCGTCTCCTTCTCGACGAATAAACATCGTGACTAAACACAGCTGGCAGTCGCGGAAGCTTGCACTAATTGCTTAGGGTGGACGATAGAATAGGTGTAATCGGAGATCGTGTGGCCATTGTCATCGTCCGCAAACCTACGGCACTTTTCCGTCCATTCAACCTACTGAAGAACTAGGTGGTTGTAGTTAACTTTGGATAGATGTGCTATATTCAATCATCGGCGAATAAATTTAGCATATAGAATTTTGCAGCGGTTGGCGTATCAATAATGATGATCGTGGTACGGTATGCACATGTCAACGTCACATTGGTCGAGAGGGTTTGTCATTAGAAGCAAGGATGTCATACGGAGATAGCGAAGAGAATATAATGCTCAGTAACATCAAGGTTAATAGCCTTACCTTTTCGATTAACCACCTATACGCTTAGATCTCTATGACTTCAAAAACTACACTGCATGGATTTGAGGATACATGTGAGGATGAATTAGAACGGTGAGACTCAACTTCTGTCACTGTTAATATCTGGTATTGCAAAACTTTTGGGTTAGTATTGCTTGAAAAAGCAGTTCATGTAAAAAGAAACCAGTATGTTCAGTTTAATCACATTATTGCGAAGAAGTAAATTTATCACATAGTCATTTTTGTTACGAATTACATTCATCAATCATCAAGTGGTGAGGAAAAGAAGCCTTTTCAGCACTACGGACCCCTTCGCTAAATGAAGAAAATCACAACTTGTTTCGTGCATCATGGACGTATATGCTAATTACGGACTACGTTCCCAATTATGCGTCTTTTCTCGTGTCACGACCAAGTGTGCTATCCGTTAATTGCAAATGTGAGTTAAGTGTTTCTGCCTGCTGATGCTGTTCCTGCTTCTGACACGATGACAGCTCAATCTGTGCCCTTTAATTGTTTTGCCCAATTTTGCTTTTCAACATACTGATTCTCAGCACTAAGATAGGACGAATTTTATGCAAATTTGCTTGCTGCTGGTGTGGGACGTCTTTTGATGCCATCGATAGCTCCATTTCCATTCCAGATACGGTGGAATCAAAACGTCACTCAAATCGCGAGTGCTACCAAATTTGAACGTATTGCGTCGCTACGTAAATGCAAATGCATTTCAAATCAAATTATCTAATTCTTGGAAAAGTAAACGTACAATAAATTGTAATTTACCAGAGGGAAAAAAAATCTTAGAGCATTTAACACGCATTGTAACGCATTCTAAACCTAATAATTCATTAATACGCAACAACCCATGAAAAATCTTCTGTAAGGCCTAGAGGTTCTAAGTGCTCAATCAATAAAAAACCTGCATGTGGATGGATATCAACGACAACAGAAGTATATATGGAGAATTGATACTTGACATTGACAACGGGTCAAGTGCGCATCGAAAAGTGCGGCAACATTAGCGTCCGCAAGAGTATGATTAGCAAAAGGATGAGTTACACAGGAATACTAGACACAAACTCGTTCTAAGTTTAACTATTTTCAGTGACGTGTACATAGAAATTACACAAGTCCCGAGGCGAAACCGCCTGCTTAATAATATGGATATGATCTTACAACAGATTTCTGATGGACAATATTCCGGATAGAATCAGAAGGGAAATATAGAAGACTACAACTCACTCCCATGTGTCGCTTCGGTTTCCGGCGTGAGTATAATGGCTTGTAGTGTCATTACAACGATAACCAGAAGATGAACCATTGCCAGTGAGACGAGATGAGCTGTAAAGACACGGCAGTGTTTCTTTGATAAAGTAAATATGTCAGTGCGATATGGTTTGTGATTATAATTCCTCCTTGCATTTGATGAGAGGCTTAACGACTACTAATTCCATTTTCCACGACATTGAAGTGTTTTTTAACAAGCACAGATGTATATGCACATGTGTTGGCTACAGTGTGAGGAATTTTCGACACATTCTAAAGATAACACGGTC